CGAAAATTTATTAAAGTTTCCATTTATAGTTTATTGTCACTAATAATTGAGTCGGTCAATAAGTCCATTCTTGAGCATTTTGTAAACACTGTTCGCATTTCCCTACTGGAATCACCCCTCAAAAGTTATTCAGAAATTCAAATGAAGTAGTCTAAAAGACTACAAACCAGTAACTGATATGCACCGATGTTGTTGGCAATCCATCGATTACAGTCAAATCTTGTCTACAGAAGCAACATGTACAATCTCTCAGCTTACCTTGGTCATAAACTTTTTTCTGCCGTGTTCATTAATCTATCGTTATTACGCCTTCGTTATTTGTTTATAATTGTTAGTTAGCTATTGTTTTTCATATTCTACTAATAAACTATTATCTACCTTATACAAAATATCTCAATAATTTTTTTTCACTAGATGGTTACATAACTCCCTTTATATAATTGATGATTTCAAACAATTTATCAACAAAGCCTTAGTGTTCTCATACTTAACAATTACCTATTTATCAGGATAGAGTTGCTGGGATTGTTGAATTTCATTTAATCATAAGTTAGTCAATGTTAGACAACCATTGAATGCCTGAAGGCACAGATGGCTGTTTTGTCTTATAATTGGGCTCCTCAGCAGTGCATATCTACGACCATGATCTGACAATCGAACAGCGGATCTTCAGTTTCGCGTTTGAACGCTTAACTTTCAGCCAATGAACTGATAGTTAATGGTATACAAGTCTAACATTGAACAGTTCACAAAAGTGCCCTATCATCTTCCACTGTTTTTGATGAGTACCTTCCTCACACTCGATTTGGTTTAGCTTCATTGGTCACGGCTTCTCACCAGAACTTGGATTTTGTTCCCAAAGCTGGTCACTAGTGAGAACATGGTAACTGTCAGTTGTGAAAATTGTTTGTTTGTCCACGAGACCGAAGATCCTAAGTTCGGTTCCCATGTGAGTGGTTGTAGAGACGCACTTAAGAGGAGTCTCATACTAGAATGACACTGCCGTTCAATGCTTCCAGGTTTTTAGTGGTGGTCTAACTTTGATCGGTTCGTGATTGCAGTGAAATTATCCACTTGAATTAATGCAGAATGTCTATTGGTACTTGAAAACATTTTCGATCATCTTTCATGTAATGAACTCTATTTTATTATAGAGTTAAGTATTTGAATTAACGATAAATACAATTATTGTCCATCAGACAGGACCTGAAAATATATCAGCCAAAGCTCTGAAGTCGGACATAAAAGTAACTGCAAGTATACTTCATGTTCTATTCATGAAGATTTGGGAGGAAGATCAAGTGCCACCGACAAATTAGAAGAAGGACACCTCATCAAGATAGCAAAGAAAGCAGATCTCAGTAAATGTGAAAACTACAGAGGCATCACATCACTGTCAGTACGAGGAAAAGTTTTCAACAGTGTTGCTCAACTGGATGAAAGACTCAGTAGACGTTCAACTTTAATACTAAGAGGCTGGATTCCGTAAAGATCGGTCGTGAACAGACCAAATCGTGATACAACGGATCATCAGTTGAATGGAACTCGTCACTATGCATCAACATCATTGACTATGAGAAGGCGTTCGGCAGACAAGGCTGCCGAAAAACACTGCGTCGGGAATCGGAAGCACACATGAAAAGGATGAATAACAACTAGAAAGAACTGGAAAGACTTGCCATGGACAGGGTTGGATGGAGGGTGATTGTGGGTGGCTTATGCTTTTTCTCGAAGGGTAACAGACATTACTAAATAAGTAATATATACGATTGTACAGTTTGGGTGAATAATGTTATATGAAAGAAAATTTGCTTCAGTGAATCGTCATTATTTGTTATCAACAACTATCTATTTTATTTCATCATTCTGTTCACTGATTGATTAACTGGCTGACATACAAGTCGTTTGTTGATTATGGCTAAACTAAACTAAACAAAATAATGTGGAATCACTTATAGTTAGTTTGAAGAAAATCAACTATCATTAATTATCAAACGACATAAAATTAATAACAACGTTATTATTTATAATTACATACTACTTTCTTTTGTAAAAAAATCAAAATTTAGTAATCTGCCGATTAAATATGATGGAATAACATTCTGTGAAATATATTTTATGGAATAATTACACTTACTCTATTAATGTAAATGATTTTGTTCTACACAATATAATGACACGTTACTTAACTGATATTCACCGAAATCAGGTAGTTTTTTTAAAAAAATCTCTTTTTTCAGTGGTTGAGTCAATTGAAGCTAGACCATCATGGAAAACCTGGAAGCACTGGACGGCCGTCTCATCCTATTACGGGACTCCACAGCAAAGCGCATCCATGATCCTGCCTCGCGCGATTCCAACCTGGGATATATGAGTCTCGCGCGCGAGCGCTTAACCACTAGACCATTGAGTTGGCCGGCATCCAACGGTGTTAATTTCTAACTTCAACCAATCTATGAAATTGAGAGACACATTCACCATTGTCTTCACTGGGTAACAATCTCACAACAGACCTGCTTGAACTCTTTTGATTTAACTTATTCTTTGAATAATTTCATTAACTATTTGTTCAAATAGTGAATCTGATACAACAAGTTTAATGAATTACATTGATGTATGTGTATTTTAGATAGGATAGATTAAAATGATTCATATTTATGTTAAATAAAAACAATAAAATCGATATATTTCCTATCTGTAACAACAAAATATGTTTGGATATGAAAAACATTATGAATAGTTATCTTATTTCATATGTAGTAGACAAAAAAACGATCATACAAACAAAACATTCTGATAAAAATAAAGTACATCCAACAGGCATTAAATATTGATCTCCTCATATTTATATGTTGTGAAGTTAGGAATCTCTGGAAATTATCGTCATTAATAGTTTATCATCTTTTTATGATATTTTGGTGTTAGTCACTCTCTTGAGAAGCAAATATTTTAATAGTTGAGATCATGAGTCAGTTAACGCTAGAACATCATGAAAAACCTGGTCGCAATGAACGGTCGATTCGTCCTGTTGTGGGACTCCTCAGCAGTGTGTATTTACGATCCCAACTCGCGAGATTCGATTTTCTTCATGATTTTCTCTTATTTGGCATTTGGTGAAGATTCTTCCATGTGTCTTATCCATTGTAAAACTTATCTGTGGACAGAGGCATTCGTTTACTTGATTGGTCTGTAGAAATATTTTAGGCAGAACTAAGATAACTATTGAAGACTAGTGATTATTAGAGTTTTTGTTATAGTTTTTGGTACTCTATGTCAGCACCTACCTAGGAAGAAACAGTATTCCAGTGCTTCCTAGCTTTCAGTTCTGGTTTCGCTAAATCAGTACGTAATTTAAAATATGGAAATTTTACAATCTTCATGAAACACTTCACTGATAATAAAAGTATCCTCACTAGTAACTAGTTTCAATGTGCGATTCACACAACGCTAGCTAGCTTTGATCAGTCAAGTTCAACTATTCTGGGTGTTAGAGAATAAAAAATAGTCATGCAATACCGTGAATTGACTAAACTTAAGTATATATATGACTGGATGGTAGCGCAGGGCTTTAGGGGGCAAACGTTCATAAGTAAGAAAGAATGTTTTTGGTTCGACCTCCAGTGGCGAGGTCATGGATGCATAGCTATCCAAAGCTTTAGAATTTTCAACTGTGATATAGCTATGAATTAATTATGATTTCAAACAGAACTTTCTTGATAACAATAAGATGAAAATCATATCACAATGTTATATACAACTATGCAAAAACGGTTGGATGATGAAAAGAGTTTTTAGAAATTATAGTGAAGCGGAGAGAATGAAATAGTAAAAAGCTGCATGGAGTAACTTAGATCAACAATATAAGGTCTATGACAATCGTTCCTTAAATATGTAGGCTAAATTAAAGATGACTAAATATGTTTATTTGACCCACTTGTTCTCTAGTTGGTGTATTTGGACACAGTAAAAAAATATATTTTAGTGATATTATCTTGTAATGACAGTTTTGGACAAACCAGGATCATCCCTTGATGTGAGGTTAAATTCTGCTACACAAAATTCACTTCGTTTCCTCACTTACATCGTACTGCAAGTGCAGGTAAATAGTTAGACCCAATTGTAGGTAGCTAAACCTGAGAGCTCGTTCAAAATACAAGCGTTTTTATTTTACCACGTGAGATAAACTATGTGTAAGAAGTAAAAGCTAATGAACTTTTAACTATCAATGAACAATTGTTCTACGAACTCATTTAATTGAAAGTTTGACAAGTATGATTTATTTTAGGGAAATGGGAACAATGATTTGAAAAGTGTTTCTTACACTTTCCGTTTCAGTGATAAATAAATCATTAGAAGCTACTAAAAAAAGGTTACTTAATAAAACCGATCTTGAGTGAGATAAAACCGAAGCTATTAAAATAGAAGTATGAACTTGTTTAAAGGTTAAGCGTTCGCAGGCGAGACCAGAGGTGCTGGGTTTCAATCCTGGAAGCACTGGACAGCCGTTTCGTCCTGGTTTTCCATGGTGGTCTAGCTTCAATTGACTCATGATTTCAACCAGTGAAATAAACATATTATTAAAAAAAACATGTATGGAAGAGTAATTATTTAAATTTAGTGTACTTTATTCCTCTTTAAATTGATCATTTTGATATAAGTTAAATTTAGTTGCTTTCAACAATGTTTTCATAACGTTTTATTACATTATGCAATGGTTATTCATAATAAACAGAAATATAAACTTGTCAGTGTTACATCATATTACATAAAATAGTTCTTTCATTTCTATGTACCAAGCTACAGTATTCACTAATATAAATGTAACATTACTCACCATACATATATATAAAAATTGTTACATTCTTCAAAGCTTTTTCATTGGTTTTCTTCCATTAACATATCAGCCAATAGTAATTCATTAAATTTTAACACTTTAATCTAATTGGTTTGTAAATATATTGGGGAAATATTAATCATTGATCAACGAATGTATCATTTCAGGCTAAATAAGTAAGATGTATTAAAAATATATACTGTTATGAATTGGTAATGATAATAATAATAAATTTATTTATGCATATAATACATGAATAGTACAAAACTTATTCGTTATCATCACAATTTAAAGTTTATTGAATGAATGTGAATATGGGTATTCCAATTGATCGATTTGTAAATCCAGTTGATGAAAATCTAATCTGTGGTATTTGTCATGGTGTATTTATTATACCTGTAGTAACAGAATGTGGTCATACATTTTGTGCTAATTGTTTAAAAATATGGTTAAATTCAAAATTGGAACATTTAAATCATTTAACAATAAGTGATAATGAACGAACACGTTTTCAATTTACATGTCCAACTTGTCGAACAAAATTAAATGTTAATAATTCACAACAAAATAATTCTATAAATTCAGTCGTAAATACAACAAACAATATAAATAATCATATTAATAATTATTGTTTTCATGATAAACCAAATATTAATTTATTATCAATAGCTAGACCAGTACTTGCATTAAAGAATTTTTTAAATTCTTTACAAATCTATTGTGAATATGCTAAACGTGGATGTACTACTATTGGCAGTGTAGAATTAATACATTTTGGTAATCATCGACATGTATGCGCTTATGTACCAGTTGATTGTGCTGGTTGTGGTAGAACATTAAATAGAATTGAATTAGCTGCTCATCAATTAGGCTGTTTTGGTATACAGGTAAGCATGATTTACAATCATATTTTTCCCATAAATTGTACTATCAAACAATCAACATATTATTTAATTTTGATAGTTGAATTTCTGAGTCGATCTAAACTAGACCACTACTGAAAACCTAAAAGCATTGAACGGCTGTTTCATCCTAATATGGGACTCCTCAACTGTACACATCCATATCATTTAGCGCTCTGATTTTGTCTTAACTTATTTTTGAGTAATATTTAACAAGAAAATTAACAATATGTATTTCAGTCTATTTGAAATTTAGCAAACGAATGGCGAGAGTTGATTTATTTCCTAATGTCTGAGTTTGATATCCAACAAAATTTATGATAGACACTAATGTAATCAACAGAAATAACGATTTACTAAGTTCATTGGGAAAAAAATATCTAAATAAAAACAGTAATAAAGGTTTACTTTTAATATAAATTTTTATTTATGAGTATTTTTGCCTACAAGTATTCAACCTTAACTAGACCGAAAATTAAAAGGAATGTTATTTAGATTTGCATAAAATTAGTGTATTCACATGAATCCTCGAAATAGATACAATTCTAATTACTTCGTTGGAAACATTATCATTGATTCATCATAAGCCTTTAGAGTGTTTGTATGTAAAGAGAAAAAAGACAATTCCAGATTTTTAATGATACAGATGGTTGGAAATCTATGATTGCTATCCTGACAAATTTTATCTTATTAAGTTTTGAGCATATTGAAATATCGTCAATTATATATTGAAATACTTAAATTTAAAGAATAGACTAATCTGTGTGGTAATCTGGAACACACAAAGTTGAATTAACCCATTAGCTGAAATTGTATGTTATTTACTAATAAATATTTATAGTAATCCAATTTTTGTTTATTACTAATCAGAAAATTGGTTAGTTTCATTGTTTTTATCAATTCTAAACTGTTAGTCCTCTTTTATTTCATAGGCTATACTGAAACCTATCAGATAACAGAATGGAGTCAACCATAAATGATACTCCAAATCTTTATCGTATCGTGGTGCTCTATGGCTTGGTGTTGAGTATTATTTTATTTATGATCATTTGATTTTATCCGTAAAAGAATTCAAACAATTGTCGTCAGAACTGTAATAATCTCAGTGATATTATTATTGTTATCTCAGTAAATGGGATTGAAAATTTAAGTAAATTTGAAAATGAACCTTAAAAGTTATGTGTTTGTTTTAAATGATGAGAGATTAACATTTCAACATTTGCATACAGATTGTTTTCATTATTTTCGGCATATACTTAAATAATTATGACTGAAATTAACAATAATATAAGTGACTTTTACAATGCTGTCTACATTTAAATACAATTCGCTGAAAGGAAATTTGTTACAAACAATAATAAAGTCAACAAGGAAGATGTCTATAGTTATTGTATTACTTCTGGATCTACTCACTTTTTCTGTTACGAAGCAACAGTAAAATTGATTACAGTGAATATATGACCACACCTACAGTCAATTAAGAGAAACAAAAGCTGCTTTCAACAGTAACCAATACTTTTCAATTTTAGGGTTCAAATTTTTGGTTATCTTCTGTTTCTGGGAAATAGTATGACTGATCTAATAGTAAGTGAAAAGTGGCAGCATTTCTAATTGTAGCATGAGTGGTGAAACAAGAATAGTAATAACAATAATAATAATCTTGATTCATTTTTGCCTTGTTTGTTTGAATCTTCCCGTTGATGTTTAGGACTGCAATTATCAGTCTCTTATTGTCATATATACATGCTGTGCTCATTGCCTTGATAGTGCCTTAGGTCACAAGCATTATAATCAGAGATGCATAGTGGTTATCAGTGGAATCCAAGACGTCCGTTTCGTCCTATTTGGGACTCGTCAGCCAAATGTACCCGCATCGCAGAGTTGATGTCCACTCCGGGACTCGAACTCAGTACCGTTCGCTTCAAACACCATCGCATTAACTACTCAGTTACTGATAGGTTTTGGATTCGAATCCCGCGAGCGGAATCGTGGATGCGCACTACTGAGAAGTTCCACACTAGAACGAAACGGCCGTCTAGCGCTTTCAGAGTTTCCATGATGGTCTAGCTTTAATTGACTCATAATCTCCACTACTGGAATTACTATAATATCCACCAAAATCCTTTCTGATATTAATTCCATATTTATTGATATTTCATTGTCTCAATATTCCGATAATTTAAAAAGAATTTTCAACCATTTCAGTTTTTTTATTGTATAAACTATAATTTTAAATAGTCACAGTTGATTGATCACTGGGTGGTGATCAATGTCTTGCTTGTCAAGTCCCTATTTAATGCAGATGGAATGCTATCGACCATGTTGCAATGTGGCCACCAGTCTAGGTGACTCGGCACTGCGTGCACTATATACTGAGATTAGATGGTGGTTGGAGGTAGTCGACAGGAATCATCTGGACCCAAGAGGTCAGTCGCGGCCCGGATAGCTCAGTGGTAACGTCGCTGACTGTGAAGCTGGGTGACACGCGATCGTACCCGCCAGGGAGCACCAGTTCCCTCAAAGAAAACAGGTACACCTTGGTGACGAGTGTCAAGTAGCACGAAACCCGTGTTCAGGGTTTTCTGTCGACTACCTCCAACCACCATCTAATCTCAATATAATTTTAAATAGTTTTTGACGACTTGGAATTGTTTCTTTAATAAAAACTTATCAAAATCAAGAATCAGCTATTTTTCTTTTAAACTAAACTAGCAAGGAATATATAGAAAAAATGTTTTTCTTTTACTTCCTGAAATATATTTCTATATTCAATACATTACAATATAAATAATATTATTGTTTTAATAAATATATAAATACAATTGATTTTAGCGCTTCAATCAGATTTAAAATTTTTGATTTGCTTTTATTCTTATAAGAATTTCTTTTTTTTTCTTTTTTGGAAGTCAAGGTCAGGATTGAATTGTGTGATAAAACAAGTACATTTCTATTTTTAAAAAAACTTACTTTATTCATTGAATAACAGATCTATTTTTTAATATATATATATATATATATATATATATATATTTATGAGATAAGTAAGAAATGGTAAAAAGGGAATTTCAACCTTTTTATGATTTCTATAGTAACCTATGTGATAGAAGGAATAAAAATCATAACTAGAATATTACTTTTAAATCAGATTCTTACTGATTTAAATTTAATAATAAAAGTTCATTGAGAATTTGTTTGGGTTCTCTAAATTTTCTGTCTTTGAATATCAAGAAAGTTGTTAGGGTAGTCGGAGCAAAAACACTATCAGTAGTATTGTAGTGAACAAGAACACAAGTGAGGACAATCGAATGTATTTGGACACAAAATGACAGAATATCTTAGTAAAATCTGAGAACTATACAGTAAATACTTCATTTGCAAAATGTCAATTCATCGTCTCAAGCTTTATTTTTCATTTAATTCCACACTAATCATTCCTTGTTCTCGTTCTCTTTTCTTTGATCTTCGTAACCTTCTGACTTCAGCTATTTCACTTTCTATTGATGATACATACTACTTATCTCTGTCGACATCAGTAGCACACATCACAGTATTGGTGATAGTAGATATGATTATGTTTTCTAAACAATACTTCATCACCAAATCAATTGATGAAGTAGTAAAACTTCATCAGTTGAGATGGCTAGGACACGTTTTACGGATGTCCAACCACTGACTGCCCCGACGTGTGATGTTTTCTGGTGTAAGAGTAGGTTGGAAGAAAGCTAGGGGCGGTCAGACCAAAACATGTCACAACTCCATGAAGTCACTGAGCCATGTCTGTAGGTGTAAACTACCTGGTTGGAATCCGCGAGACGACAGCAACGGATGGTTAGAGACCTTGAATGACATGGCTCAAAATCGTTTACGATGGCGCAGGTGCATTCACTCATTGTGTTCTCCCGAATTCTAATCTTCTGAATTCTTTATGTCCCTTTTTTTCTCTTTCAAAGTTCGTTTCACTGGATTATACTTCTTGAATGATATCTTCAAACCCTAATCTTTCGGATTACTGCTTATACTCTTACTACATCTACCACAACGGGATTTGAATCGACAATTGTATCTGTATGCTAATGTGGTATGGCGACTCGAACTGATGTACGTAGGTACGAAGTTCTACGTTGTTACTGACTGACTTACTGAACCGATGCATAGTTGTTGAAATAGAAGTCGGTATAGACATATTAAATTACGAACAAATGTCATAGTATTACAAATTTCCTGAAGGGAATTATTGTGTGAGCGATGTTATTGGTCATTTAAGAGTATGATTTATCTCGCATACTTTTAACAAGGAAAACTGTTTCCCATCGCTTTTGTTCAGTAGATCGTTTTACTTTCAACCTGAATTGTTAGTAGTCAAGTAGAAAGAAAGTAGTTTAAAAATTTTAGTATAAAGTGTTTGAAACAAAAGAAATTGGTTTGAAGTTATAGACAAGGATGAATTGAGAAGATATTAGTCGTAAATGACTGTATGTGCAATAAAGATGATAATGATATTTTTATGTTGAACTTAGATATATTTTAATTCAAATTACAAATGTTGGCAATGTCTATCAAACTATGAAAGCCAGAGGGCACTGAACAACTCTTTTGTTCTAGCTTAAAAATTCTTATCACTACTCATTGACCATTCCAAAAGGTGTATAATCCAGAGTCAGCTGGACCCATATTAGGCACGTTCTATTTAGAATATTAAATTATAATCCAGTGGTCAATACTTTTAATGTCACTTGTTTTGCAATGAAGTATAGACTTTGATCATTATTAACGGCCTGCATTGAAAATCAATTGATCTTTGAGAAATGTACAGCAACACTACTGCTGAAAATTCTCATTTAAACATTTTATAGAAAGAATGAATTAAGCAAAGAGGTTTTTTTCAGTTAGTTTTTCATCATATAAGTGATTTGCAACAATGAAATAATACTCATTTGTTTAACTGTATTTTTCAGATATTTACTTTGGTTAGTGTAATCTAATTT